CCACGACGCTACGCTTCTGGGACGCGTCCGGTGGGTTATGGCGCTAGACCAAAACCGCGGCGCAGCCGGACCCAGTGGAAACTGGGGGTGAGTGTGCTACCTACAGTATTCTGATTGGAAAAACTGAAAAGAATACCAGCAGGAAGCTCAACAATATACTGCTGTGGACGAGCAGCAGCAACACGTATTTATCCTCCCCAAAGAAAGATTTCCCGGTTTAAATGTGAACTATGTGGAATAGTTTCATTGCATCAGAAAGCCCTTTCCAAAAAACTGTTTAAAACACAGAAGTCACACAATAAGACCAAGCCGCTAATCGATCAGGGCAGCTGCTCCTCTGTTCTGCTAGGTAGATTCATTGTTTGTGTCAATGGAGTCTGGTCATTTTTAAAAGAGCATAGACAAAGGCTGTGGTTGCGGATATTGAGTTTTTAGTTGTCTCAAACTCGTTTTGCTGCCGCACCTGTCCGCAGTGCTATAGCTTAGCTCCCTGCTGGTATTCTTGTTGGTCATTTACCGTTTGCGATACACTGATGGTGAATTGACTGTACCTCATACAACACCTCTTCAAAAAATCCAAACTATCCCTTTGCCCTCAAACTCTCTTAGTATTTTAAGGCACCTGAAGGATGGACGTTTGCTGGGGCAAAACACAGCCTAGCAGCAAAGCTATGTTGCTAAGTCCAGGCAATAATAGTCTCTATGAACATGTTTGTTGCATTCCCTCCGACACCCTTCTTACCTACACCCAGCAGCAGCTGCTCCACCTGATCCCCTGACAGGGCTGATGTCTCTGTGAAGAATAACCCTCTGTCATTGGCCAGACTCTGTCCTTCCTGTAGGACCAATCAGAATTAGCGGGGGAAAGTGCAGTGTTACAGCGTATAGCAGTGGCATATTTACTGTGGCTGACGGGCAAATGCACCAAAACACTTCAATTAGGAGAAACGGACTGCACTTTCAAAAACGAAGCATGTATGAGAAAATATATATAAAAACACAAATCTGCCAAAACGCATGTAAATTACATGTGTTTTGGCAGATGTAAATGAAGAAACATCTTCACCAACTTGACAACACATGCACAGTGTTTACAAAAAGCGTTGCAATGAACAAATCGCAGCAAGAAGCTCGAAACACACCAGAACCAGTGGACCCTGGACCCAGGGATTATAAAGTGGGCCACTGGAAACTTACCTAAAATATAAATAAAGATAATTTCATCGCAGGATTCCTTCTGATAGTATTGCAGATCTGTTGAACGGTAGCAGCTAACATAGCCTGCAGTCATTTCAAATATACTGACAAACACAGTTATGATCTGTTGAACTATCATGAACTATCCAACATCCTCACCAGAACGACGCTGGATTGAAATGAAAGAAGACCATGAAACGGACAGATTACGCCGAATGGAACAGTGTGTATGGCAGGGGTCTGCAACAGGCGGACCGCGGTCCGGTTCCGGACCCAGACGCCGACCTATACGGACCCGGAGCTATAATCAATACATTAATAGGGGATTTTTCGGCGCCTCGCGCTTTTTTAACGCTGATTTGGGTAACTTGTGTAATTCGTGGAGAACCGAAGAGTTTTTTTTTGGGGGTGGGGGGCTGGGGGGGGAGTCCGTCCGTCAGTCCGACTTCTTCAATAAAAAGAAGAAGAAATCTAGACCGCAAAAATAATTAAACAAGCGAGTACCTGTT